ATAACTCTCCTGGGCCTGGGCTGGCTGTTTGTCTTAGATTCACTCCCAGATTTGATTTATGAGCTCACTGAGCTCATGGGCCAGGTGCTGGTGTAAGTGGGGGCTCATCCGGGATCCACATACAGGAAGACCCAGGTCTGCATCAGGTACAGTGTGTTCATGTGTGTGTTCACGTGTGTGTGTTCAGGGTAACTCTGGTCTGGGCTTCAGCATCGCGGGAGGAACCGACAATCCTCACATCGGAGACGACCCCTCCATCTTCATCACCAAGATCATCCCCGGAGGAGCCGCTGCCCAGGACGGACGCCTCAGGTGCACACACACAGAAACACAAACACACACACAAACAGACACACACACAGACTGCTTGTGCTTGTGTTCTCTGAGGACATGAAGCTGAGCCTCTCACCTTTAAAGGACCTAAACCTGATCACCCCTGAGCCTTCAAACAGCTGTTTGAGGAGGTGACAATGACTCTCCCTCTCTCTTCATCTCCAGGGTGAACGACAGCATCGTATTCGTTAACGATGTGGACGTCCGGGAGGTCACTCACTCCATCGCTGTGGAGGCGCTGAAGGAGGCGGGGCCTGTTGTCAGGCTGTACGTGCTGCGGAGACGCCCACCGAGCGAACGCATCACACAGATCAAACTGATGAAAGGACCCAAAGGTGAGACAGGAGAGCAGCTCTTATGTAACTGTGATTCCAGCTGCTCTGCCGCCCTCTGCTGGACTGTTAGAGTCATTACAGTTCTTAAATATGTTTTATGTCAGCTACAGAAGAATTAGAGACATGACAGAGGCTTCATACAGGAGATTCACCTTTATAACCCTTTATACTCTGATTCCTCAGCAGGACACTGTAGTAATGTTTAATCAACCTGTTGTAAGTACAGTTTGGTCAAACAGGAAGCAGAAACACACCTGAACGTGTCACTTCATATGGAGCCAGTCACACCTGGAGATTTATTACTTTACAGCACACACAGGAGTGATTTCATGAGTCACCTCCCATCAGCCCTTCATGCACTCTGTGAGGATGATGATGATGAGGAGGAGGATGGTGAGGATGAGTGTGGAGGTGTGTCAGAGACAGCGGGTGGACAGAGACACTAACATCTGTCCTCAGTGAGTGAGAAGTCTGCAGACACATCTGCATAATTCATGCACAGCTGATCATTGAATACGAGCTGCAGGCAGAAACACCACAGAAGAAGAAAACATGAAGTAAATGAGATGTTCCTGTCAGGGCTTATGATGATGATGATGAAGGTTTAGCTCTGCTGTGAAGACACATTAATGAAAGGGCTGCTGGGTAATGTCAGGCAGGACTGACCTCCATCAGGCAGATGGTCCAGAGAGCTGCAGGAGCATGAGGAGGATTAGATTCAGCCTTGTTAGAGGACAGGAAGGTGAAGCTCGTCTCTGTGGACGTCTTCAGCCAACAGCTCGCAGCTTCCTGCGGTCATGTGGACAGCAGCTATCATGGTGACACCATCACAGGAAGTGGAGCAGAAACATCTCCTCTGCTCCGTCAGTGAAGCTCTGACTGAAACAGCTGACTAACTGCTGTCATGGTAACCTGCTGCTGAGGCTGAACTCAGTTCACACTAGGGCTGGGCGATATGACCCAAAATTCATATCTCTCACGGGTCTAATATCTGGATCAGGGACACGGGTCTAACATCTGGATCAGGGTCACGGGTCTAACATCTGGATCAGGGTCACGGGTCTAACATCTGGATCAGGGACGGGTCTAACATCTGGATCAGAGGTGGGACACGAGTTAAAATCTGGATCAGGGCAAACAAAGGTGTGCTTGCTTGAAATCAAAGCACCATATAGATCAATGCCAGCACTCAATGAATTTAACAGGATGATCAATCAGTCGCTTCATAGGCTGATTGGTTGTATGGAGAGCTGAAATAAACAGGACACACTGCTGACAAACACATTTCTGAGAAATAATTTTATATAGCGGTTCCTGCACAAAACAGAATTCGTAATCTACAACAGCCTGCTTCACAACGGGATGCACAGCTCCTTTTGATAATACTGGCGCACTGTGGAGAGCCACAGTCAGTGAATCCACACTTCAGGCAGATAAAACAAGTTGCAGCACATTTCAAATGTGCACCGTGATATCCCAAAATAGCCGGTGCTCGTCCCTGCAGTCACTCAGCACACATGACAGTGAAACTTTGCTATAAGGTCTCTTTAGCGTCTATATTTGACTTTAGTTCCACCGAACAGGGAAACTATGCACGGAGCACTTGGACGTAACACTATTCAGCCTGTTGCAGTTTGTCAGTGTCTATTGTGACTTCTGTCTGGTCAGATATTGGATGCACTAAAGGTCATCAGTGAGAATCACAGCAGTTTAAGCAACTTAATGTAGCTGTAGATGTATATTGATACAATGTATTGATAGTATATTGATAACCCTGTTTATAGACAGCAAATTCGTTGATTGAATCACACAACAAACACCTTGCAAACTGATCACAATCAGAGGAGAGAGGCAGGCAGCACCTAACATTTCCTGCGTGGAATGAAAAATCCGACAGTAATCTGATCACAGATCACTTGTTGGTATTGCAGTAGAAGTACTGCATAGTTCACATACACTAAGGCAAAGTGCTTAAATGGACCAACAGAATATTTCTTCAGCTTCTGCAAAGTGTTATTATTGACATTGCATACCTCATTCTGACTATATATGAGTGTGTCGAGATGAGGGCTCACAGTTACAGGATGTAGAACTAGAACAAACTAATGAAGCTGATAGAAACCAGATAAAAACAAAATGTTAATCAAAGAGAAAAAACCTCCAAAACAGACAAAAACGTCAGGAGGACTGATTGGGAACAGGTGGAACCACAATGGAAACGAGGGACAAAGACAGGGAGCAAACACACAATATGACACACGAAAAAACAAACAAACCTGTCAAAATAAGTCATTAACACAACCGTATAAATAACTCAAGCAATCATAAAGACAGAGACGGGAGGAAGTAAGTGAGTCAGAAACGTCTTTACTGTCATCCAAGTTATCCTGGCTGGAATAAGCTGAGGTGATATTTGTTGGTGGCTAACCATAATAGCAGCTCAGTGTCCTTCATTAGTCGTACTGTGAGAGCAGAGGAAGGGCTAATTTGCTGCAATGTCCTATTTACCAAATGGTTAGAAGGGAAAGGAAAGTGGATCTCAAATTATAACCATCTACTCAAAAACTATTTCTAGATACAAAGCAGTGTAATTGTGTGACAATGTGCGTAAAATCCAGTGAGCAACAATGGGGCTTTTAACATTTCAGTTTTAACTGTGATTTAGTGCCGATGAAATGCAATTATTGTACCCCAATTATGTCTGCGTAACAGCAAACAGAGAAGGACAGAGTTGCTGCCGATGCTACGATTGGTAACCCACCAATTTGTGGTGTTGAGCATGTGTGAATATGGAAACTGGTTCACAGAGATTTTGGGAGGTGGACCATAACCACCATGCACACCATTTACATGCTTCTCCTCTTTTATCCGGTAAAGAGCTTTGCTTAATGGTAATTGCTGCTGGTCAGTGCTTGCAGTTGCTAATTAACATTAATTTGATCAGTAGAAAAATAAACTGTGCTGCAGACATTTATGTGATCGTTTGCAGTCACAGCAAACTCACACATGTCTGTGTCTGGCTTTTCTTTCCCGTCACTTTGAGACATTGTAAAAAATCTCAAAATTAAATTCAGTTTGAGTCATAATTCGTCTGTGTGGCTCAAACACAAATACAAGCCGGGTAAGATTTAACATCTACATATTTGCAGTGTGTCGAATCCCCAGATGGATTCTACTCTAGTAACAGGGCGAGGAATCAAAAGGTGAGCAGCACAACCCTAAAATATTCACTTCTCACTCTTAAAAAGTGAATTGCAAATTAAAGTGTGCACTATAACATCAGCCAGTGATATGTCATTGCATCTGCTGCCATCTTTCTTTCCAGAACTGACCACAACTGGAGGAGAAGCTGGAGTGCTAAGAAGCTAATGCTGGCAAACACAAGCGTTGATTCGTCTCTGTTGTGGACAGAGACAGCCGGAGACAGCTGAGCCGTCACTCCTCTTACACTTCTTTGAAGTCTGCCAGCTGGACAAATGTGTAGCTGGTCCATTTTAAGTTCTCTGCACGGTCAAAACAATTTACTGACCTTTGTGCTCACTATCGGATGATCGAATTTTCTTTCTTTAACTGTAGTGGACTCACAGATGAATGCAGCATTATGAAGGCATTAACTAAGTAGCTCGACTTTATGGGTATGTCAGACAGACACCTGCTAATTTACTCCTACATTGATAACATTATTAAAAAACATATATAGTAACATTCAAATAAAATACTAATAAAAAATAAAAAAGCTTTGCTCCAGTGGTTATTGTTATGAACCAAACATGGCTGGGAGCTTTGGGCGGAGCTTTATGCTTTAAATGAGGAAGTTAAAAACCCAAAATAAAAATATTGCTACTTCCTCCAAAATGTTTCCAATATGGACAATTTGACAGAGAGAACTTTAATGATACTGCTTGCTGTGTGGTACAGACCAGAGGAGGTTTTGTTAACGATAATATGTTATTTATAGCAAGATTGTTCCTGTGCAACCCAGTTCTCCACCTCAGCTACTGTGACTTGTTAAACATGGCTTCTGCTAGGTGTCAGTTCCAGTTGCTCGGCCTGTGTCACATGACCCACTGTCAGCAGGTATGTTCACAGTTTGGTTCTGAGGCAGCTGATGAATTGTTTCCATTCCAGCTCGAAGACGTCATGGGGTTTTGATGCTGTGTTGAGTTAATTGGCTGATTATTCCCATATCACTGGTAATTTGTATTCCAGCATAATGTAATTGATCCAGTGTGGGAGTTTTCTGAGCAGGATGTGTGTGATTTGCTGTGAGCTTTTGATTTCAGGTCTTTTAACCCCCTACAGCTTATCTCCCAGGAGAGAAACATGACTGATGCTTCCTCTGTTTTAATTACTCCATTAGAAGCCAGCAGTGAGGGGCGGACGTCTCCTTCAGATTCTTCTTGAGGACAAATAGCGCTCATTCTATTACGACGTGTGTAATTCATTTACACTCACTTTACATTGTGATGGTATGAGATTGCTCTCCATTAACATCGAAGACACAGTGTGCCTGTTCAGTATCAATAACATCCAGGTAGGAGTTGAGGAGATAGTATTACACTGGTGCCAAAAGCTTTCTGCCTCAGTCTTATTAAACTGCATGCATGGACCTTTGCCTTTTACCACAGATAATGACGCCACTGTGATCAACTCTTAATACAGATATTACTGTGGGATGTGAGTCTAACTGCAACTCATACTGTATGAGTAACTGTATATACAGAAAAAGAGCATAGCCACTGTGATGTCATCGATTGGTTGTGGACTAAGAAACTGTTCATTAGAAACAGATTAATAAAAAACACAAAAACTGATGCAGGCAGACTTTTTGGATGATGTGTGTTCAGTGTTGGGGAGTAACGCTGCTGCTGATACAACCAAATTTCCCCTGGTGGGACAATTAAAGGATTATTCTCTTCTTTTCTAATGGAGTACATGTGCCGCCGTTACGTATTTGAAATGCAAAATATGAGAAACTGTATTCTGTTACAGTTACCATTTAAAAAGGTGGTATTTAGAATACAGTTACTTTGTTGAAATAAAGGGATTACACAGCGGTCTTTTCCTGTTTCATATGTTCGGCTCTGCTCTCTCTGTTTCTGGTAATTCCTCGCCGGTGGAAACCCAAACAAAACACGCGATAAGAGGCTCAAATGCCTGAGTCTCAATCTCGTGGCCCATGTCACCTCTATTTGCAGCCGCATAATGATGAGAAGAATTATTTTAAAAATTTACTGTTCAAAAAAAGGTTTAGTATGAAGGCAACAGGCTGAGTGTTACAGGCATCGCCTTAAAGCATGGAGCCTGATGGGCAGTGTAGTCCGTGCTGCTTATGTGTCTGTGAGCGAGGAGGGAGAGAAAGGAAAAGTAGGAGCTGTCTGAGCAGAAACGGGAGCTGGAAGCATGTAAATATAATAATAACCACTGCAGCCAAACAGAGAGCCTGACGAGCCCAGCTGTAAGTAAGCTGTTAAGACTCGACTGTACGCTGTGTTCGTT